TTAACAGTCATAGGGCTCCAATACATCAACATTACACCTCTGACCACATCCAGAGTGCACGGGAAGTCAGTGTGGGACAGACATCCGATTTTGATTTTGATCACATCGGGGAGTCTGTCTTGCCGGATTTCTGAGACAAATCTGGGTGTGTGTCAGCCTGGCAGCGCATCCACTATAAACAGTTCAGGTTACACCCCCTCTACCTCTGTATAGCTCACAATTATATAATCATATGCCCACATTTCTAGGAAAGCTTGTGAGCCTGTAAAAATCCCATGTTGAAATGCAGCTAATAGTTAAACATCCCAAAATATTCTTCTTCTGTGTATACCTCATTGCAGTATTTGATTTTGAAATAACTGCTTTATTTTTTTTTAATTGGAAGAAAATCATTACTTTTAGGCATGAAATAACAAACAGGGTCAAATGCAGGTGCTATGAAGGCAAAACTCCCACTGAAGTGACTAAAGTTCCACAGAAGTCAGTGGCAATTTTACAAGGAAAAGGACTTTAGGACCTGTCCCACTGCAATAAGGGGCCTGAGCTCACAGTCTATGGGAGTTACAAATAGAGACCTTTATACTGGGAGCAGGTCCCAGGACTGCAGAAAAGAAACAAGTAGTTGTTGCAATGCTCAAGTCCCTACTACAGTGTTAATTAAAGTGTAATGAAGATAACAAACATTCTGTCACCAACAGCTTCAGTATGTAATCATTCCAAGTAGCACTGACAACAGATAGCCTTGCAAAATACTAAGTAGAAACACTTCAAAAAATTAAACATGCACTGTCTTTCAAATTGCTAAAAGTCTTGTATGTTATCATCTAATAAATCTTCTGCTGATATTTCCTATAAAATTAATACCGAGACCCTTTCTAAAATATTTATGAATACATATTTCATAACAAAAATTGTATCATATAAATATTTCTCACAGAAGCTGCAGGGACGGTGTGAGCAAAAAACTCCCTTCCGGGATTTTAGTAAAAGCAGATCTCACAAAGGATCTGTAAAGAAATAAAAAACAACCATATATTAATGTAGCATCATATATCCATGATTATAATACTGATCTAGTCATCACAGAGAAATTTATTTACATAAGTTAAAAAAATACCCCCCCTCAAAAAAATAATGTTGCAGATTTCATGTAGTACAGAAGAAGGTATAAAATGAGATGTGTGCACATACACAGAAAGACAGACAGATGAAAGAGATATAAAAATCAGAATTCAAGGATGCAGCACAATTTTAACACATTAGCTGATGATTCTGAATGCTGGAGGTACTCCCTGCAGCAAGCATCCTTCTGTATGCACTGAAAACACCACACATCCTAGTTCATTTTAAATCATAAATTAAATAACCAAATGCTTACAGCCCTTACAGTGAGATAACATCAGGCGGAACGCTGCGAGGAATAGATCTGGCATTTTCACATAAAGCATTATCTTTGGTACAAGTACACCAGGCAGGACATTTTGGCTTCACTGGTTTCTTCCCTTCAGTCAGCAAAAGCACAGATAAAAGGCATAAGAAATAAGCAATTCTTCTAAAGGGTCTGCTGGCATTTCCCATTCTTTTGATCCGCTCTCGTTCCAGCCAGTTGAAAGAATATCCCAAAACATGAACAGGGTTCTTTATTCAGCCATTGGATGTCTTTCTATAAGTCCAGGTCAATATTTGTCTCTGCTTTCCCAACCCTTTTCTTTCTCTTTCACTCTGTTTTTGTAGACAGAAACCTGCAGCTGATCTGTATGTTTCCACTCACTCAGGCAACGTACTGCTCAGAGAAGAGACCTGCGAGGTGCTGTAAGATGGGGAAAATCCAACCGGCTGAAGGGAAAAAAAAAAAAAGGAAGGAAAAAAAAAAAAAGACTTGCATCACCACAAAAACACTGAGCACAACACAGCATTAGATTGCAAAGTGATGTAACTGAGAAATACACTGCTTTCTGTTTTCACAGGGAGGCCCTTTCCCTGTTACCAAAAATAGTACAGCATTATGTTTTGCTGGTGGGTGGGTGAGTGGGTGTGGGGTGGAGTGTATGTGTGTGGGGGAGAAATCAGTCATCTCTTACTGGATCCCTACAACCTCGTGAACCTTTCAGAATTATGCTTCACATATTTCAAGCAGCAGAACTAACGGCAGTATCCACAGGAAAATGAAATCAAGTGAAACCATCAAAAGCATTGCTGCAGAAGCTGTTAGATTAATTTTTATCCTCAGCCCTTATTGCACATATTTATACCACTGAAAAACAAGCTGCCACACATGGAAAATATTACAATGTATGAGAGAATGCCTATGACTCTTATTCCTAAACAAAATATTTTCTCATGCAAAATAAGACCCCAAGTAACTGCAGCTTTTTTTTTCTTTTTTTTTTCTTTTTTTTTTTTTTTAAAAAAGAACCCTTCTTATTTTTTACATATTTCCTGCACTGGTTAAATAAAGTGGATCAAGCACAGCTCGATATGGACAACATTAATTTGAAGTTCAATTTAAAATATTTATTTGCTTGGAAACCGTTTTGATCATTTTAGATGGAAAAAAGGAAAATTGTTATTTAAACACCAGCTATGCTAAATGCGTAGGTAAGAATGGACCTTCTTTGAAAAGTGACAGGATAGGGATGGATCTTGTTGATAATGATGAATCTTTACAATACTGCCTGAAGGCTGCAATTGAAATGAGTGCAAGGTGTGGTATGAGTACCCTGTAAGATACAGTTCTTAGTCTGAAGACTTTACAGTAAACTACAATAAATATTTCATAGGGAACTTAAGCAGCACCTAAGTGTTATTATATTAAGAATGGTAAGAGAAAACTAATGAATGCCAAATGGCTGGAAAGCCATATGGGATGATTTTTTGTTTTCAATATAGGATTGCTATTAGAAGAGTTTTGCAAACTTCAACAGGTCTTAACACTTCCCCACAGCACTGTTTACATTACACAGCTCACAAAGCCTACTAGGGTCAACCCAATGGTACAGACATTTAACACAGTCAGGCTCACTATTGGCTCCTTCACATAGATGTTGTCTCCTCACCAGAAGATGCTTGATCTCCTGATGAGATCTTTCTCAACTTCTGGTTGCCTCTCCCTTGATTCCACAGGACCGCCTGGCTCTGGCCCATTGCTCCTGCTCTACAGGCCATGAAATCTCAAGATCAACACTGGGCCATGTCTGTCTTGCTCAGGAACAATGCCAGCAAGGCCCTAGTGCATATTCAGATATGGGTGCCCAGCAGGAATTTGATATGCTATGGGTGAACATATCACAAAGGGGATCAACAGCCTACAAAACTGTAAGAAACTCAGTGTATGGATACAAGGCAGGACCCCAACATTGCTGAATCCTTGACTGGGCAGTGGCTGATGTCTGTCTGCCTGGGATGAGAGGAGATGCACAGAGCTCACACCGGTTGGTGGGGCTTCATCCTCTGAGGGACTGAGTGCAGCCAGAAATGTCCAGAAAGCTTTCAGAAGCAGACAGCCACCTCCAAAGGCCCTGCTGTGAGAGGACTGCAGTGCCTGTGCGTGGCTTCCCACCAGGCACCAGTGCCTGTGCAGGAAAGGGCAGCTCATGCTTTCTCAGCTTCCTCGCTCGCTGTGTTGTGTTTCTGTAAAGCTCTTTATTAATTTAAGCGAGGGCCCATGTTTTTGCTCTTAAGAAAATCTTCCCTGTCAGCAGTCAGCAATTCTCCTGAAGCAGAATTGACTTCATCTAAGAATGACAGAAACCTGTGTTATTTCTGAGCCTTTCCACCGTCTGTAATAAAATGGTACAGAATTACAGTAAACAAAGCACTGAAATAATTATTAAGCAAATGTCAATGCCTTCCCCTTCATATGGAGGTTACTTCTTGCTCTGGAAATGATGTAACTGTATAACCGAGAAGGGAGCTGGATTTGTGGGACTTGTATAAGTAGGGTACACCATCTTCTCCCCTCCAAGATGGCCAATGGCACAGACTTGGTGAGGTGAGAACAGAAAACTCTCTTTTTTTTCTGAAAGAGAAGAGGCCTGTTGTTGTTTGTTTGTTTATTCCTGGCAAAGCTACCCATTGCCATGGCAATATTTTGCCATTGATGGTGAAACCCCGTGTTTCATTTCCTTTGGCTCATTCACTGAAATCCACCATCAATTACCTAGGCATTTCTCTTTAGTTAATACTCTGACCACATTGTGAACCTCCTGAAAACTTTGCAGTGTAGCCTTTTTTTCAATAACAAAAGCACATTCTGCAGAGAGCAGTAACCTGACTCCAGTTTTGTCCATGCCGAGAGCGGCCTGGAAGTTAGTTTTCTGTTCCAAACTACATGCCAAAACAACCGCTTTTTCCAAAATTGCAAACATTATGAATAACAGCTCCATCAAAAGAGAGGCATAATTTTCTAGGGGCCTTTTCTGACAAGCTCAGCATCTCATTTCTTGCCATGTGGTAGTTTAAAACCACATCGGTTCGTGGATTTCCAGTGGCCCAGCTTCTCCCCAGCCCCAGCGACACTTGGCTCACCCTTTGCGATGCCATCGCTGTTTGTTTGCTGGCCAGCGGAGCAGGCAGTGGCAAGCTGTGCCCACGGACCGGCGCCTGCCTCTCGCTCCCTGCTTGTTTTCCCGGGTGTTTCAGGTACTGAGTAGGCACAATGGGATTCAAAATTAATTTATTTTTTTTCTTTCAGCAAGGTTCCAGCAGGGGGGATTAGGGAGTTGTGGATGCGTTCCTCGGTCTGCTTCCCATCACTTGACGTTCTGGCCGAAAAAGCCGCACCGTGCGGTGCGGCGGAGGGGGCCGGTGGGCGGACGGACGGACGGACATGCTCCGGGATGGCCGGGGGGCCGCGGGCTGAGGCCCGGCCCGGGCGCTGCTCCGCCGCCGCCCCGTATCCCGGCAACCCGGGGCCCGGGCGGTGCCCGCCGAGCTGCGGCCTCGGCCGAAGGGCCTGAGGGAGCGCCCCGGCCGCCCTCGCCCCCGGGACCCCAGCCATGTCAGCCCTCGCTGCAACCACGAAGGGCTCTCCCGGCCCCAAGCCGGGCGGCCCCGGTGCTTCTGCGCGACTCTGCCGATACATTGCACCTCTTCGGCGCTGAGCCAACTACGCCCTAGTCACCCATCCTTCCCCACGCGGTGGCTCTCTACGCGGTATCGAACAGCTTGTTTTTTCCAAATGGTTTGATAACAACATTTTTTGATGATAACCAACCATCTAGTAACAAGCGAGGTGCAGGTATATGACAGCAAAAATTAAAGCTACTTTTGCCTGCTGTCACTAGGGGTATTTACCACCCACCACTGCCTGTGTTCCAGACTTACCACAACTTCTGTGGCTTGGTTTCTACAGCAAAAATATGCACTTATTATTATTAATATTTACTAAGCATACATTTTTAGCAAATTTTCTCCAATATGTGTTTAAAATGTGAATACTTCCGCAAGTAAACCTGTTTGCTACAGTATTTGAGGAAAGCAAACGCAAATGTTCAGAACATAGAACCAAAAATTATTTTAAAAAATATTTAATATTTTTGAGGGATTGACTCTGCTCCATGACTGTATTTGCATATTTGCATTAGACCAATATGTTCTTATTACCAACATACGACAAAATTTGAATAAGCTTCCTGTGGTTTCATGCTCAGTACATTTCTCTTTGCAGATATATATACTGTTGGAGTTGTTCTTAATTTCATCCTGTTTTTAGAAAACTGTGTTGCCTTTTTTCTGCTCAGGATGAGCTGCCTGCACATATGTAGCCTAATCCAAAACCCAGTGATGATGATGATGATGAGACTTTAGTGAACCTTATTGTCCTTGGTGTTCAGCCCATAATATTACACCACACAGATGGGCAATAGTCCATGCCTAGTGTTCATGGATCTCCTAAAGAGCAAAACATTGTCATTGCTATGTTACCACTGTGTTTGAAGCAGAAGGATTTTGAGATCAAAGACTCATACAAACATGAGTCTCAGCTTTTTGCTCTCTCAGTGCCACCCTTTTAACAAATTCTGTAGCAAATGGCAAATTTGAAGCAGCTGAGAATGAGGCTGTACTTTCAATAAACAAAACTAAGTCTTGTGAATCCTAAACAGTTCTGAAAAGACTGTGCTTCCTGGTGGATCTGCCACCAAGAGCCATTGCCAGGAAGAGGCCTTCTGCAGGTTAGGCATAAAACTCGAGATGCCTTTACAACAGCTCATAGCATAGATGAGCTATGGGAGTGATCGTAGGGCTGCCCGAAACTTTTTATTTGGAAAATTCTGCTGACTTTGCCCTATCCTGTTTACACAGGTTTGTATTATGGGTATCCTTCTTTATTATACCACCAGAGTTTCCTTAAAAGCAGGACAACCAGGCCATTCCCTGTGTCAAAAAGCCGAGGAAATGGCTACTTAGTTGCTGCCAACTTTGGAGGAAAGAAAAACTTGGAGGGTGGTCTCCTTTCCCTTGCATAAAGTAGTCAGTTCACAGTTCACCCTGGAGTTAGAAGTGATCACCTCTGATCTGAGTCAGGTCTTAGTCATGGCCAAAACTGCATAGTGATGTAGAACATCTACTCCACTGAACATATCCTGGTGGGTGTGCAGGGGTCTCCAGAACTGCTTGCTGGCTTAGGTACACCGTAATTTGATGACAAAAAGTATGTCAGACAAGATGTAGTGGTATCTGAATGATCTCTCTTTAAGAAAAGCAGATGCACAATGTATTTCATTCAAAGAGAAGCCAGGTAAAATTATTCTATGTTCAGGTTTTATTTTGGTGCAACCAAGGACCTTCAACATCTTTACAAATCTTGATGCTTCATTTTCAATTGCAGGCTTTTAAATAGTAGAAAATATTAGAAATTGCCTCAGAAGACACTTTAAAGATATAGGATTTCTACCCTTTGCAAATTTTGAAAGGCTCTCTCAGGCTGAGAGGGACCCTGGGAGAACACCTCATCCAACCTCCTGGATAACCAAGAGGGATAAAGGCTAAGAGGCTAAATAAGAAGTATCCAAAATGTACTATATTTTGATATCACATGGCTTTTAAACCAGTATCACAAAATTTTAAAGACCTAATCCATCGTCTTAGAACAGCTGATGTTGACAACACTGCTAATGTTAAGTGTGTTTACACATTCTGTGGGATGCCTGTTCATGCTGGTCTGTCTTCCAATGCAGGAAAATCAGTGCCACAACTTGGTAGCTTTAACTTATGTAAGTAAAGAACAAAACTATCAAACAGAAAATCCCATTAACTGTCTTTCAGGTCAGACATGGACATAATCTTTACTGGACTGGCCCTTCACCATGAGAACAAATAATCCTATTGATCTGGTAATGTATTAACACCCAGTTTCTCCTGGGGCTCTCTATTCCTGCTCTCCAAAATAAAACTGGAACAATATATAAAACCCAGAGCTGGGATTTCTCAGCTCTTCCCTAGATCCTGCATTCTGTTTTCCAGCAGACTGGGACCAGTTACTTTCTCAGGTTTTGGAAAGGCTCCTAAGGTCTGTTACAAAGCAGTGTGCTTTGCAGCACACAGTCCAGTAGCATTGCTGTCCTGATTACCAGCCACTTTTCTCCAGATCTAAACAAATAGTTCTTGCTTTGCTTCTGTTGTCTCTGTTTTGCCTTGAAAATCCTAACAATGGATATTTAGAGTTGGGGGGGGAAATGAAAGACCAAACATACAAGCTCAAGAGCAAAGCAGAGCCCAATTCAAAGATGTGTGAAGCTGTGCTACTTCATGGTTCACAGCAGGAACTGAGACCACACCTAATATAGGGGGAAGTATAAGAAAGGAAACAATATAAAAGAACACTACGTTTTCACTTGCTGCAGAAATCGGCATTTTTTTCAATCTTCCAAAAAAACTTTCAAGAAGATTTGCCTGTAGTTGATTTATACTCAGGGAAGATCAACTTCTCACATGTTGGAAACGGGGACACTTTTGAGACAGAAAACATGCCCATCCACTTCAGTGGAATCAGCATCACACTCATCACATAGCATACATCCTACTGTAAGATCAAGTGCCCTCTATATGAACCCCTCAGGGAGGAAAAGTCTTATTCAAATATGTAAGTTACTTTTTTGCTTTTTCTTCCCCTACATAGCTAGATGAGACGTTAAAAGCATGGTACTACTGAGAGAATCTATGCTTGGTTTATAATTGGAAAAGGTCTCACGACTTTTGAAGGAACTGGCGTGGTGATTTTAAGATGTACTTCTGTGCAATGCTTTCCTTAATGGGATGGTTTCTCTTACCCACTCTTCCAAGTACTCTTGGTTCCACTCTCTTCCACAGCTCACTACTGGTGTTTCTGACTCCAATGATGTTCTTTAAACTGGATTAAATAAATTATTTGATAGAAGAACAAGAAAACAAAACCCTAAACAAACCCACGTTCTTCCCTCCCCCCCCCCCCAAAAAAAAAAAAATTGCTAGAGCCAGAATAAGCAGCTGAAGTGGACAAAGAGCATTGGTTTCATAGTTAGAGAAAATGTATAGGAGCCACACTCTTGAGGGGCAGTTTCATGTTACAAATACTCACAAAAATTTAAATGAACCTTAAAACAGAACTGGTGACAAAGTACCTCAGTCTGTACCAAAAATGGACAAAAGAGGAACCTCATAAAATGCCCCAGTATTGACCTAGCAGAGTTTAAAAGTGATTACCTAATTGGAGGACAGACTTTTAACACGTGTATACAAACTGACACTTGATAATTATGATCTCCACTCTGCCAGCTCCTTGTACTATTTCTTAGTTTTTTAGTTATTCATAGATTATTCATAGAAGGTATCCTTCATGCCTACAGAAGGAGGCGTAACAGGGATAGAAAATCCAGTCCAGTAGGAACCCTGCATCCAAAACAAAATGTCCCAGATTTTCTATCATGAGCAAGTGCTTTCTACAGACCCAAAACAACATACTATTGTCACTGTAGCTAAATGCCATTTAATTGGCAGCTAGAAAAGTCTGTAATACATTTCTTCATGGAAAAATGTTTGAACTCTTCCAGTTTGTAGAGATGCTAATTAAAAACAGACGGCATGTTACAAAATCCTTTCCTTGACCTGTGCTATCTTACATGCCCTTCTGTACTTTTTTCATGGCATTAGCTCCCTGAAGAATTGATCTAATTTTTATAAACTTGTCTTTAGTTTTCCTTGTCATTTTGCAGACAGAAAAAAAGTAACAGTATTATTTATTTAAATGTAGATAGGAAATTTATTTGTAACATGGCAGAAACAACAGGCATTTGAGGAGAGTCTTTACTTGTTAAAAACAGAAGGTTTTTACATAGCGAATAATTCAAAATGGAAGAAATCTTAGTGCCACTGAAGTCACCAAAATAGTTCAAGTAAAAGCCTTGCTGGAGTGCCACTGACATAATAAATTGCACAATAAGAAGGACATGCCTCATCAAACACATATTATAGTTTCATCATTACTAATCAAAATGCTTTACAAAGCAGGGATTTGGATCAGCGCTGAAACATTTTCAGGGGTTGTTGTATTTTACTGATGTTTTTATTGTTCTTAACAATGCAAGAAATTTGAAAAAATGCCTCATTTCACTAAGAGCTAATCCTTGTTACCTCAAGCAAATGCCAGATCTGCCTGACACCCCACCCTACACCACGGCAGGCACGCTGCCACTGCACAGGCCAAGGCAGATTCTCCATCAAATAAGATACCGCACCACACTGAATGTCCCTTTTTCTTATGAACCACATCCCCCAGCAGAGGAGACTCTGGAGGGCTGAAGAAGTCCATCACATCTGTTTGCCCATATGCCAACATGCTATTTACTCAGTATAGCTTTAAGAAAAGATGCTCTTTTGGCTGCTGGCCCTCTCCCTCTGCGGTGGGAGAACAAAACCAATACAGCATATTTATCCAAGACCTGTCTGTAGCTTTAAATATAGTTTTCATGGCAACAGAGAAATACATGTTTTAGTTATGACTGCTCAGAAGCTAAAGGATTTTCCCTACCTTGAGTATAGGAACATTCCCATTTTGAGTTTCAAAATGCTTCCTAATTATCACTTTTCTAAAAAACAATCCAAATACCACACATCTGACTTTTTTTAGACACCACTTGTAGGCATCTGTAAGTTTCCACTGTTGCTGCCCTTGTGATTTAGGCGAGAGTCATTAAAACTGGAGGGCTCAATTCCCATCCTCAATATAATGCATTAGTAAGAAGTAATAAACTCCTCAATGAA